GAGAGGTGAGTAAACGTGGTTCCAGGTGCTCATGCCTCGGGATGTTGAAATTTCTCAAGAACGGAGGTCGGGCGCATGGCAGAGCAGATCGTTTCGAGCGGTGGTCTCCTCCCGGATGATATCATGCTGAAGGTCTTGACAAGTAAACTAGACTTGCTACATAATAAGGTGAGCTGACATGTGAATGTGGCTCGACTAGACAGATCTAACGTACTTGCTTTAGCATTGGATTCTAGATGGCTTTCCACGAACGCTTGGGCAGGGAAAGCTCTTAGACAATCATCTACGGTGCGCAACGCGAATGTAGTTCCTGAGAGGTGGTACTGATTCGTAGATAGGGCACGAGGGAACCCATTGACTCTCGTCGTTAATATAGACGTAGCAGACGATATAATCCTCAGCCGAATCTCCGACCGATGGGTGCATCTTCCCTCCGGCCGAGTATACAACCTCTCCTACAACCCACCGAAAGTAGCCGGTCTCGATAACGAGACAGGGGAGCCACTCACAAAACGGCCAGACGATAACCCCGTACGTCATCCACTCACATGTCCCGTCGTGTGCCGTTCAACATGATAATATCTAACATCGGTTTCTTCGCTCGCTTGCAGGAGATATTCGCGCGTCGTCTCGAAAAGTTCTACGCTGCGACGGCGCCGCTACTCGCATACTACAACGCCTCCAAAAGCACACCCTTAGTGACGCTCACCGGTGCAACGTCGGACGAGATTTGGCCTCAACTGGAACACGTCCTCAAAAGCTCGTTCCCATCGCTCAAGGAGCGTCCAGAGACGAGGGAACAGCGGATCAGGAACAGTCTCAGCGACGCCGTCCTTGCGCGGGATGCCGCACAGAAGGGTTCACAATTGGTTTAGGACCTGTCATTTACACTGTCATCATCATGCTTCGGATTTCGTATGTTCTTCCACTCTGTGTTCTCTGCATTTACCTCTTGGTGCTTTCTTCATTCGCATAGTCGTGTACTGTATTCATACCATTTTCATGGGACATTCGACCCGGATGTTCGTTGTAGTATTACACATTACATGCTTGAATTCATTTTGGATAGATGACCTCATCGCAATGCGTACCTATGATCAGGATCAGCCAACTCAATCAATGGAGACAGGTGAATATCAAGAACTGACATTTTGACATCGTACAGTCCCTCTGGGAATCCCAGTTGTAGTTGTTCGTATATCAGGGTGAGGCCAGCTTTGACAAAGGTCTTCTTCCACGCCGCGTCCGACCTATCAAGACACCGTGAGCCCACGTATCAGCATACCCAGCCAGACGTACCTTGTTAAACTGGAGTCTGCCTCGTCGAAGCTGACCCGTGCGCTTCCATCGTCGCCGTCCTGGCACAGATTCTCCTTCACCACGATCAAGCCCTCGTCCTTATTCCTCAGTGCAGCATGACACCGTCGGAAGAACGCCACCAGCTCTTCGTCGGAGAGATGTCCAAGACACCATTGGCACCATATCACGTCGAAGCCGGAGTCCGTCTCTAGAGGCACGTACCCTACTCGTCCAAGCCTCTTGCACTCGCCTGATGCGGGATGCGCGGGGTCCAGCGATTGAAGCGTGCCTTGTATGATGGTGACGCTCTTCGTCTGTTCCCGGATTCCACGCCATGGAGCGTACGGTGCATCGGCCGCGACGGTGCCGTTCTTACTTGCTCGTGCGCGCGCGAGGGCTTCGCGGACGAAGGGCTCAACAGGTTCGACGAGCACGACGTCGTCGAAGAGAGGGAGGAGTGTATCGGAGGTTACGCGTCCGACACCGGCGCCGACATCGAGTGCGCGTAGGCGTTTACCGTGTGAGGGGGGAGACGGCGTAAGTAGTCGGACGGCGGAGGCTACGCTGCATAGGTTCGGCAGGATGAATTGGAGGAACTGACGCGATCCGAGCGCGTCGATGCGAGGTAGTGACTACGAACGATCTATAGTATCAATGTTTGCGCAATTTGCCTTGAGATTAGTACTCACTCCCTCACCGAAACCACCTGCGTGCGCCGGACATCATCAAGGGACGTTCTGGCCGAACGAGCGATGCGGCTCACCGAGCACCCCGTTGTAGCTCGCGGGCTGGGACGTCCAATACTCGATGCCCTCCTGGAGGTCCGGCTGCTTCTCGTCCTTCTTCACCATCGCGGTCACCGCTGTCGTTGTCGGGATCAAAGAGGACTCGGAATCCTGGCCGCGGACCGCCAAGTTTTCGCTTTGCGTGATGGGACGGGGCCAAACAGGGGCACACAACGCGAACGCGCTCGAGCTAGCCGAAGCGCTCTCTCCGCTCCGCCATTACGACTTCGAGTCGAACCACCATCCTCGCACGGCTAGGGGTGTCGTTTGTATCGTCTAGCACTAATGTCCTTCTCGATAGACGATATCTGGGACGAGCCGGTCGCGTCGGGCTCAGCGCCGCAAGCACAGATACAGACACAGGCGCATGGCGCGGAACACGACGACGATGTCGCGACGCGTCCGTCGCCCGCCAAACGGCGTCGGACGACGCTATTCCTCTCCTCTGACTCCGAGGACGGAAACTCGCCGCAACGCAAGACCCAACCGCTGCTCATTCCGAACAAGGCCCCTCCGCGCACACCGAAGAGGGCCGACATAGAAGCGCTGTTCGAGGACCTGGATGACGACGACGAGCTCGCGCCCGCCCTGAACGTCGACCAGCTCAGGAAAGAGGCTGCATCGAAGCTGCCTCCGCTCACGCCACATGCGCTTCTCAGCAGCTCGCCCCCAAGGGACTTTGGGGACGATACAAACGAGGGAACAGGGGCAGGGGGTAAGAAGGGGAAGGACGGCGAGGGCTTGCACAAACGCAAGCTCCGGCCTAAGCTGGACGAGGCGCGACTTATAGGCTCGGATGGTTTCCCTGCGCTTGTGAAGCAAGCTAAGCACTTTAGGCCTAAGGGAAAGAGACATGAGGCGCGTATATGCTCTTATTTCATTGTGGCGTCACATCAGTAGGCTGAATACACCATACAGCTATCTGACCTCAATAGGCTCATGCAAATATACCAGTTCTGGTCGCACAAGATGTACCCTAACAATCGCTTTGAGGCGAACGTGCAGCGTATCGAACAGCTGTGCCATACGAGACGAATGGTGGTACGTCGAGAAACCTCCTGTACATTGATTCATCGACAAATAGCTTGTGCAGAACTCGGTGGGAATTTGGAAGGATCAGTTCCACGGTACCATCAACGGTCTCAAACCAGAGGAGCTCAACGATGGAGGCGAGAGTGATTCCGACAGTGAGACTGAAGCCAAGATCCCCGCGCTTGATGTGAGCATGCAGGCGGCATCGAGCTCACCGCCACGTCCCGCTTCCTCGTCGAGTCGTGTGATAGACGTCGAGGACGACTGGGACATCGATGCTGTCATTCGTGAAGCTCAAGAGCGGGAGCGGACAACGGCGTCCTCTCCAGTCAAAGGAACTGTCAACGGCGTCTCTACCCCTGCTTCCAACCCACCCAAAGCCAGCGACGCACCTACGCCTCCCCCACCGCAGCCCCTCACTGTCTCTACCTCCACCGCACAGGACGACGAAGATGCAGCCATGTGGGACGCGTTCGACATAGACGAAGCAGCGCTGCTGGCAGCGGCGCAGGAACCGACGACGCGCGCTCCGCCCCCTGCCTCTGCGCCTCCGCCTGCACAGATGATGGACGACGAAGACGAGGACATGTGGGATGCTGTGCGCGAGATCGAAGAGCAGCAGATGGCCCAGACGAGGGATCCGCAAGCTAGCGGGTCAGCGACACACGATTTGCAGGGCGGCAACAAGACTATCGCGCCACCGACGAACGACGAGGGATGGGATGAGATGTATCTGTGAGATAGTCCAATACTATTCATTACCCCAGTTCATGTCGTTAGAAATGGGCAGCCAGGACACAGCCCTGAACCAGGATCATCTGAACGTTCATCCACAGATAACTATAATATATATGTACTTTTTATATAGATATCAAACGGAAGGAAAGCCAATAGTAAATAAATACAAAAAGAGGCTTCTAAGTAAGGCTTCAATTATTTAGTTTATTTACTGTTTATAAACAGTAAAAACCGTTTACACTTTATGTTTATTTACTCTTTCTGTGTAAAAGTGTGTAAACAGTTTATTAAACAGTAAATAAACGGTTGTTGTAAGAGAAAGCCTGAGGACATTCCCGGGACCATAGAAGGGGATAATGTAGGTAAGGACGCTGTAGTTACCCTCGGAGTCCCTTACGAACGTCCCAGCCGATGCGCCGCTGGAGGCTTTCATCGGCGCTAACGCTGCGAGCAGCCTCGGTCCGGCGCTCCGTGGTCCGTACGTTCGTGCTTTCGTCTCCCGTCGCGACCTTTGTCACAACCGGTCTCCTTGCGCCACCATCTAGCTGAATGACACATCCGTGAAAGTCTACATACCAGGTAAGTTCTTCACAAAATAACGCGGGATGAAGCAGTCGCGCAAGTCGAGTACGCGACCTCAGTAGCAGATGAATCTGAAGCGAACTTTTTCCCAGGAGTACCGGACACCCTTTGAATCATAGCGTGCAGTATCCGTAGAGCTATCTTGATTTTTGCGAAATACGCATTCTGAGGCACATGGCACGACGCTGTGCAAACCGCTTTTGTGCATGTTTGAAACTTCGTCGACGGAGACCTCTAGCGTGAGTGGTGATTGGTCACATCATCCCTAGGCTTGATCACGTCGCGAGGCTTGTAAGCCCCGCCCAAATGTAACGTCCCTTGCGATACACCTTGCAGTTTCTGTACAATAACTGTGATACAGGCAATAGGTATGCGGTGTCAGAGGGCAGATAGAGACTCTGTCTGGCTGTGTTCTCGGACACCTTTTATTTACTCTTTATAAACTGTTTATAAACTGTATACAACCCTTTACAGTTTATTTACACATTCCGAGTAAATGTAAAGTAAATGGTTGGAGCCTTACTTCTAAGTCCTTTAAGTAAAAAGCAGCGGTCTGGGGCTATATGCCAAGAGCGTGGATTGAACACGCGACCTCCAGAAATCAACATCAACTTCAGTCTGTTGCTCTCCCAGCTGAGCTATCTCGGCGGCAACAATAGAGCTTGTTTGGACCCATTTGGAGTTTACACTGCATTTGATCTTCATGAACTGTAAACGATCAAAAATTACTGCCCCTGTGAGGCTCGAACTCACGACCTTCCGATTCCAGGAAATATAAGCTCCCTAACAGTCGGACGCTGTAACCAACTCAGCCAAGGGGCATTGAAAGTCCAATTGAACGAAGCATTCATCATCTGCTAGAGCCTTCGACGGGGCATCAGAGTCAATGTGCGCCTACACGCCTGCGAGACGAAGGACCTGCTGTGCGCATCCACCATTGCATAGCATCCGCCATGTCTGGTACAAACGGTCCTAGGGAGAATGTCTTCCCCACACGAATGGCCCTCACGAACACCAAGCTGCGGCTGAAAGGCGCACAGACTGGACACTCTCTGCTCGCCAAGAAGCGCGATGCGCTCACCACTCGCTTCCGCGCCATACTGCGAAAGGTCGACGAGGTGCGCCTGGCATATCGCCTCGATGAATGTGTTGAATCTGATGTCGCATTACTGTAGGCGAAGCGGAAGATGGGGCGTGTTATGCAGCTCGCCTCTTTCTCTTTGGCCGAAGTCACCTACGCTACTGGTGACATTTCATATCTCGTCCAGGAGCAAGCCAAGTCTGCATCCTTCAAGGTCAAAGCGAAGCAGGAGAACGTGTCTGGTGTCGTTCTCCCAGCGTTTGAGGTTGATCGCGTGCCTGGCACCGGTATGTACTGCCTATTACTTTTCATGCGATAGGATGCTCACTTGGATTTGATCGCACATAGATTTCAATCTGACAGGTCTCGGACGGGGCGGACAACAAGTATTGAGGTCCAAGGAGGTCTATGCCAAAGCCGTGGAGACCCTCGTAGAGCTCGCATCACTACAAACGGCGTTCATGATTTTGGATGAAGTCATCCGTGCGACAAATCGTCGCGTGAACGCCATCGAGCACGTCGTCATACCCAGACTCGAGAACACGATCAAGTACATCACCAGTGAATTGGATGAGATGGACAGAGAAGAGTTCTTCAGGTCCGTATTTCCATTGTACCTACTTAGTCACCTCATCTAATGAGTTGATCAGACTCAAGAAAGTGCAAGGGAAAAAGAAACGAGATGCTGAAGCAGCCGATAAGCTAAAGAAACTCATGGCGGACGAAGAAGAAGCCGTCGAAGAACAGACTGACACTCTGCCAGAGCATGCGGGAGGAGGGGGCGATTTGCTGAGCAGCAAAGATGAAGACGTCATCTTCTGAATGGCTTCGCGTTCGTACATGTATTATTCACCCAACACCCGGACCCTGCAATCATATACCATCGTCGTATTGTATACCACATGGCGTGTACAATCGTACAACAGTGTCTCCGTCTGTGAAGCCGCTCTCTGACCCAGTCGGTTGGTCCCTCGTCCAGCCTCGTATCGCCAGGGTAATCATGATGAGGAACGGCCGCTGTTGCCTCATACAAAGCATATCATGTGCAGGTGTGCGCATACATACATGTGACATTTTGAGAAATGCGGTACGATAGCCAGGCGACGGAGTAGACATAAAAACCGAAAGCGAGCAGAGAAATTACTATGACGTCGGGTCAGTACATGAAGACTAAAAGCCATATCAGCGACTCACATCGACCATCTCGACGTCACCGCCGGGTGTCGGTGCAGGCTCCTTCTTGCGGTTCTTGCGGTCAAGGATAGCACGCCTACAGAAAAGCTCAGCGCAAAGCAAATAGAGTGACGAGGAGACGCACCTGTCCTTGTCCAGCTTAATCGAGGTGATAACCACCTTGCTTGGGTGGATACCAATGGGTGTCGTCGAGCCGTTCGACTTGTCCCGCTGAACGCGGTCAACGTGGATCACCCACTTCTTACGGTACACCTGCGTAACCTTGCCCTCCCGACCCTTGTACTTGCCCCGGACAATGCGAACCTCATCGTCCTTGCGAATGGGTAGCGAGCGAGCCTATCGGCATAACCACACGAGAAACGAACATCACATTAAGTTGCCCTGACATATAAAGGTACATGGTTGGACGTACGTTGTACTTGGCGCGGAGGTCCTTGGCGAGGGCCGAGGACATGATCTTGCGGCGGATGGACGAGGGTGCGGAGAAGTGCGCCTTACGCGCCTTGCGCCGGGAGGAGGAGACGTCTGCAAGCAAAGAAAGAGAGAACATACAGTGGTCAGCTTAATCCATTCCTTCCCCAGAGCAGCACCAGAATAACGACGACCCAATTCCTCGACCTCACGCGCGCAACCCAACCGACTCATCCGAGGCACATCCAAATCATGCCACACCCATCCATCCCTTTCCCGGTCTTCAAATCCACGGATTTCGCGCCAGAGCAGCAGAGGAGCATAGCAATAGCCTTGAGAGGGGCACTAACCAGCGTTGTACTTCATCTTGAGGGTCTTGAGGCAGTCGGCGTCGACGTCGAGCTTTTCGGTGGGCGCACGCACGGCGCTAGGGCGCTTAGCCGAGTATGGCAGGCAATTAACTTTAGCTGACTACAAGCTCCAAATATGGGCATACTAAGGCGCGGATAAGGGGTTATCCCGGACTTGTCTGCTCTCGCGGACTCGCAGGTTGCTCGACACCCCGATCACCATGTCATCCGAAAAGATTCGTTCTACTAGGCTCAAATTCAAAGGGGAGAAGACGAAGAAGAAAAGAAAGCGGGAGGATGGTGACGAGCCAGGTCCCAGTCGCCGCAGACGACATGAAGAGGTCGATGAAACCCCCGAGACATGGGTACTACCTGAGAATCCCAACGAAATACGTGGTCCAACGTTTATTATGCAGCCCGCAGACCCGTCGCCGATCTGTATCACTTATGACGCGACGCGTGGACGCATCATCATTCACTCGCTCGACAAGGATCCTAAAGCCGAGGACGACGACGACGCTGCTCCTAGTACCAGCACTAGCATCCTCGACCGCACCCCGACAGAAGTCTCCCAGGTCTGGGTGATTACGCGTGTTGCTGGCGCAACGACTATCAACCTGCGTACTGGCGTGGGCGAAGGCAAATTCTTGTCCTGCGACCAGCATGGGCTTGTCTCTGCTGACCGCGAAGCTCGGGGACCTCAGGAAGAATGGACGCCTGTCGTGCTAGAAGACGGGATGGTCGCTTTCCAGAACACATACGAAAAGTATCTGTCCGTGGACGAAGTCGCCGGCGGCACGCTAGCACTTCGAGGTGACAGCGACGAAGTTGGGTTCCGTGAGCGGTTCTGGGTCAAGATCCAGCACAAGTACAAGAAAGAGGCCCATGAAGAAGAGAAGAAACGGAGCTTGAAGGAGGGAGCCTCCATGGACGACAATCTTAGTGAAGCGGACGTCAAGTCAGTCATATCTCGTTGTGCCGTGAATACACCACTGATTTCTTTCCTCGTGCAGTAAGGTATACCAAGCTTGGGGAGCTGGAAAGTCTGTCATCTCGGTGGATGATAAGAAGGCTGTGAGTTCTCAATAGACGGCTTACTTTGTGTACGTACTGACCTATCACTACAGCTCAAGAAAGCCAAGAAAGAGGGTCGACTTGCCGAGGCATTGCTGGATCGTAGGATGAAACTGAAGAGGTATGCATTCTTGTATTTTACTGTACTGGCTGCTTATCAGCTGTTCTCTAGTGATCGTTTCTGTTGAACGTCGATGCCTTTGGACACCTTGTTAGAATCGGATTAGTTCTTGTACTGTAGCCACTCTATTGTACTGTAGCTGTGCAGAATATACATGCTCTCTTGTACATCCAAAGACTCAACGCAACACTTACAACGCTGTATTCAGTGTTCTGAGGATTCCTCAACTCAGCTGCAACGACTGGTGCAACGGCGAACTTGCCTTATTCGGCCTGCAATTAGTGGGAGGCGCCGAACACACGCGACGCGACGAAGTTCGCGCTCAACCTGACCGCGTTTTTCTTCCTTTCCTCCCTTTCACCCTCCCTCTGAACACCCTCGGTCATGCTACACAAACATACGTCCATCTCGGAGGCTTATCAGGTTCTTGGACTTGATAATGTATGTCCATATGCACGTTTTACGGCACAAAGAATAATGGCCACTTTTACAGGGAACATCGCTCGAGATCGTCAAGACCACATATAAACAGGTATGACCGCCCATGTTGTGCCTACCGAAGCGATCGCTCATGCTCTGCATAGCTGGCACTGAAGACACATCCAGACAAGAATCCGGAGAATGCAGACGCGACCGCTCAGTTCCAACGGTTAAGCGAAGCATACAATGTCTTGTTGAAGCATCTCGATAAATCTTCGCCTCCCCCACGGAGTCGGTATCCTATGTTTGGGTCTGACTCGGACATTGACGATTATGACGATGACGACGACGGGTACTATTACTACGGCTCGGATGACGAAGAATACTACGACGACGAGGACGATGAGGACATGGACTTCTATAGGTGTGTGCTCTACCTGACTTCTTCGTACCATCTGACTTCACTATCTGCTCCAGGTATCTGTTCGAAGAGCTCTTGAGAAGTCGAAGTAGTCGATTTAGCCAACAACGTGAGTTCCATATACTGGTCTTCGTTCAACAAACGCTAAAGATATACTGCTGCAGAATTTTTCCGTGCTCGTCACCCTCATTATCACCCCGGCAGACCGAGCGAGCCACCTGAGACTCCTGAAGAATATCAGGCTCGTCTGCGCCGCAAGCGCGAAGAACAAGAGGCTGCCGCAGAGCGCAGGCAGCGAGAGGAGGAATCGCGCAAGGCAGCACAAAAGGAACAGCGTGATAAAGGTTTGTACTAACTTCTTCCTTTGTACTACTGACAGACCTCATTGATGCTCTCTTTAATAGACAGAAGAGATGCTGAGAAGCGACGCGAGACTAAAGCCGCTAAAAAGAAGGTCCAGGCAGAGGCCTCCCGCAAGTCTGCAGAGGAGAAAGCACGGGCCCAACAGGAACGTGTGCAAGTGCTGCGCTCAGTTGTCTTCGCGGCTGCACGGTCTGGCGATGCGAAGAAGGTGCAGAAAGGAGTCTGGGAGGACTCGGTCGACGCTGCAGGGGGCGAGATCAAACCCGGCTGCGAAGCCTTCCTCAAATCAAAACCAAAGGATCCTCTAGAAACGCTCTCTCATATCGTAGCCAGCAACGGCGATGCTGAGCTGTTCGAGTGGCTAGACACGCATGGTAAGTGCCACTC